TTTTTTTTTTTGTTTTTGGTAGATAACTTTAAAAGACTTAATAGTATACATTTATGGTATACTACCGTGTTAACGCATCTCTACTTTAACTAAAAAGTTGTAGGTCCGAATCCATTGCCCCACATTTTATAAAACATCCTATAAGAAAGTTATGTTATGTTACACTGTTTCTGGGGTAAAACTTTTTTGACTATGTTATTTGTCTTTTTTTTCTTTTTCTTGCAGCCATTAACTTCTTTTAATTAGCGTCGATGGGATTACATATCAATATGAATGGCGTTGCTTTTTGTAATCAGGTTAAAAGCCTTGGTAGCAATTCCAAAGGTACAACCACGGTTTGCCGTAGCAATATGGAAGAAATATCCAACCATGAAATCTCTTTTGAGTGTGTACATGGATCCATGTAAATCTGTGAGTATGAACAAAACTACTTACCTTATCCTTGCTTTTCATAAGCTAGCAGTCATGGAAGATAATGTCTCTTTTTTGTCCACTCATGTGTTAACAGGTGCATGAAAAGGAATTTCTGCTGAAAGATTTGACGATCGAAGGCTTACTCGGTGATGATAGAAGATTAGGAGAGATGTGTTCAAAGAGAGTATACAGGATACTTATGGCTCAAAGTGGAAGCATGAGAACCGATGACGTTGAGGAGGGTGCTGACATGTTCAGATCCCAGTTGCCTTAATTAATTATCCAATCTTATTAACACACCATCAATTTAGTGCAATAGCTTATTGCGAGTTTCACGGTCTCACAGACAGGTTGGAGGACTAGAGTGCCGTCGTTACCTTCTCACAAATGTCACTTGGAGGTCTGCAAAAGGCGAAACTTGGTAACCGACTCGTGGAGCAAAGGGTAAATGAATAAATTGTTGTTGTTCAATAACCATTTCTTGGATGAAGGAAACCTGAATGCTCTCGTGAACAAGGTAGAAACAAACTGTACTATATATGTGCGTTGATGTTCATTGATGGAAAACCAACACTTCACCTTGAATTTGGATGGTTCTTTGGATGGTTCATTGATGTAGTGTTGAATATATATGTGCCTCGTTTCTTGTGGTGGCCAGAATTTCTAATTATTTAACTCAAAGTTTAATTATTCAAAAAAATAATAATAATAATATATATATATATATATATATATATAATAAATTTAATACAAATTAATCTATAATTATTCAAAAAAATAAAAAATGAGCGAAAACTGTAACCTATTAACTTAGTTCAATATTATTATAAAATTAAAAGGGAGTAACACAAATATAAAAATAATTAATTTAAAGGTAGGTATATAGCAAAATATATATATATATATATATATTTTAACTTAAATATGCTTATTTATAATAATAAGAATATACCTAAAAAATAAATAAATAAATATATATATATATATATAAACTATGAACATTTAACCAAATAATAACACAATAAGGTTAAATAACACAATAATATAAAAGAACAAAGAAATTAAAAATAATAAAAATATATATTGGCGTACTGAACATTTAACCAAATAATAACACAATAAAGTTAAACCTATTAATACAAAAGGATTCTTAATATACTTTATATATTTAACTCGAAACCAAACTAAACAGTTCGGGCTCAGAAAAAATGAACTCAACCCTACCCGAAATGCAAATCCAACTCAATCCTTATAGTTCGGATTGGATTGGTCCGGGTTGTCGGGTTGAATGTACACCCCTACCCAAAACTAAATTATAACTAGATTAGAGCAAACTACCACTTCGAGAAAAGTTTAGCAAGCTAAACATGTACTCAGCCAAAATCTCAAACGTTTCGAATCCTCCAACCCACATATTATTGAGCGTTCAACTGCAAGCTGAACAAAACCTCATGCATTTGACATCTACAATATCCGCAGAGATCTGCTCTAGTTCGTGTATTCTCTATCTATACACCATCTATCTAGGCAAGCAATCTAATGCCTAAAGTTCGCACCCAGATCGATGCAACAGCTTCTGCAATCACAATATTGTTGAACACAATTCTCTGTAGAAAACACTCGCACACTTTATTAACACCAAAGAAGAGATTTACAAAACACCCTGTAGAATAGTCAATCTAATTAGGATGGAGGGTATTTATACTATAGTATAGTCAATCTATTCCTAAAATTTCTCACCCTTTTTCCTAAAATATCTAAATCATTTTACTAAATTTATTTCTAAAATCCTACGCCAGTGATGACATTTTAACACTCACCCTCAGCACTAGTCCTCATTCGTTGCACCATTTTGAGCTGACAGCGAAAATTCTCATGTTTGACAGTATTAAGCCCTTTTGTAAACAAGTTTGCCACCTGATTATCTGTCTTGATCTGCTGCATCTCGATTTCTTCCTTCAAGACTTTTTCTCTAATGAAATGGTAGTGCACTTCCACATACTTTGTTCTAGCATGAAACACCGAATTTTTCTGATAGACAAATCGCAGATTGGTTGTCGCAATGAAGTGGTATTGGATAGTCAATTTTCTAGTGCCAATCTTCCATTAAGACTTTCAACAATATACTTTCCTAAGCTGCTCCAGTCGCTCCTTTGTACTTTTTCTCCGATACTTGACCTTTGAGTATCATGATACCGTTTGACATATCTCAAGGTCCATTGAGCCACATCCAAATAAGGCTTCTTTAGACTTTGCATATACTGACTAATGACTCCAACTTCATTTTCGAATCTATTTGGTTGGTTCATGTAGATCTCCTAGTCCAACTCTCCATGCAAGAAAATATTCTTCATATCCATCTGCCAAAATTTCCAATCTTTAATAACAAGTGCTGGAGGAACTTGTACGATAGTGATCTTCGCCACTGGACTAAACATTTCATCATAGTCTAGTCCATATTGTTGACAAAACCCTCGAGCTACAGGTTGAGTCTTGTATCTTTCGATTGATCCATCCGAGAGACACGTTATTTCGTAAGCTCACTTGCAAGAGATGAGTTTGGTATCTCTTGGTCTTGGTACTGATTCCCAAGTTTGATTTTGTTCCAGGACTATAATTTCTCCCTCCATCGCTTTCTACCAAGTTGAGTTTTGTGATACATCCTCATATATCTTTGGCTTATTAACTCCATCTTCTACAATAGTTGCGTTGACATACTCTAGACTTGGCTTTTGGATTATATCTAACTGTCTTAGTTGTTGTGGTGCCCTTTGTTTCTCACTAGGTTCGCTTGGTTGAGTCACTTCTTGCTCACCAACACTAGTGTCACTTGAATCTTCAGGCGCATCAGCACTGAAACAAATGTGTACAGTTTGCTCCCCCGTCTTCTGTGGAAGAATCTCTTCAGTTTGCTCTCCTGTCATAAGAATTTCTTCAATTTTCTCAAGGTCTGGTAATACTTCCTTCTTTGAGGGCCAACCCTCTTCCATTGCACCACTTTGATCGTCAATCATGTAGTTTGAGTATCCCGAATCAATAATCCAATCATTCTCATAATCGATATGGTCTCACATCATCGTCATGAATGCTAGCTCATCTTCTTCTATAACATACAATACCTCTGCATCCCATTCCTCCTCCATCTCTACGTTGGAGGATGCCACATTGCTTTCGACAGATTTATTATTGGACCAACAATCTCTGGACATGTGGCCCTTCTTCCCTCAATTGTAGCAAATGCCCTCAAATCTTTTCTCTTAAAAGTTATTGTTATCATTCTTCTGAGCTCTCCCTGGTTGTACAGTTCCTTAATGACTTCTTCTTTTGTCACTATTGTATCTGCGTTTTGTAGACAACATATTATTGCTCTGGCTTCCACTTGTGTAGAGTGCTTCTTCTTCACCCTTCAATGTGATGCCTCCTATTTGTTTAGTCATGGCTTCTTGACTAGCTAACAAATTTTCGAACTCTACAAGTGATGGTTGAGTGGGTCATCCTTCTACAACAATAATAAAGCTTCTGTCGCAATCCATGGATTATAATCCTCTTCATTCGAGATTCTACAATGGCGGAATTTGGGTCTAGTTCAGTAATCTCCAGACAGATCGACTTGACCTTGTGGAAATACTGAGCAATTGTCAAGTCACGTTGTGAAATTGGCAACTCATTCTCTAGAAGTTGTAGCCTTGTATCATTCTTCTTTGAGAACAACATCACAAACGTGTCTCATGCTTCTTTCGGTGTCTTGTCATCTCAAATATGCTCTAACATCTCTTCTCCGATTGTGGTCTTCAAGGCAAACATTGTTTTGCCTGCTTTGATTCTCCATTTGCGCAAGGCGCCGTTAGAATCATCCTCTGGCGGTATAGTTTCGCACCTGCCAACGATCTCCCAAAGATCATGTCCTTGTAAATAGGACATCATGCATGTTGCCCACGTGTTGTAGTTGTTGAGTTTCTTGATTCCTCCAACAATTTGGAAATCCCCCATCGTGTTGGCTATACCTCAGTAATACCAAACAAGCTCTTTCGACACAAGACTTGCAGAATCACAGACTACTCACGACACAAAAGAAACTAACTCACTACTAATCTCAAGAAATCATTTCTGATGTGGAAGATCAGACAGAGCTGCAACCACATAGCATATTAAGAGTACCAAGAGATCAGATAACCTACACTAACCTCGCTCTAATACCAGATTGTTGAACACAACTCTCTATGGGAAACACTTGCACACTTTATTAAGATCAATCGAGAAAAGATTTACAAGATAGAAACTACTACTATTGCTTCGTATTTCTTGGGATGATAAACTAAGTAGGATGGGGAGGGGTACTAGAGAGTAGCCAATCTATTCCTAAAATTTCTTAACCTTTTCTCTAAAATACTTAAATCATATCATTTTACTGAATTTATTCCTAAAATTCTTAAATCATTTTACTAAATTTATTTCTAAAATCCTAAATCATAAATATAATTACTCATATAATGGTTAGGCTTAACCTATTAGGCTAGTGATCACATTTTAACAAATACATAGATTATAATGACTAAAGCTACAGGATATTTCGAGTGAAGAATCTATACAGTTGCAAATCACATACCAGAATATTTGGAAATGACCGTAAATATAATTGTTGGCCAAGTCCTTAACTATACATTGTCTTTATATGATAGAGTTGGTTCTATAATCTTATTGGTACCTGACAAATTCACTCATGCTAAGACCATCACCACTGGAGGAGACCTAGCGGGAAACAGGCAAGTCAAGATCAAAGGGTCCCAAGGAGTCGCTCTGTGTAGAACATAAAAGGTAACGGATAAAATGCTACTTGCAAAATAAATAAATAAAAAAGAGAGAGAAGGGAGAAGAAAAAAGCTGTGCAATTTGCAACGAGGCGTACCCAATTGATTCTTGACAGCCCAAGGCTGCTTTCATCATGATAAACCCGCGAACAGAACATCAGATCAGTCTTGGATTCTTTATCAGCGGGATCTTGAGAAAGCTCAGATCGGTTACGGGCCTGTAGAAAATAGTAAAGTCTCTGCATTACTATTAAGTATACATACAAAGGATTAAAATATATCATGATCTACTGGCTTAAGCTTTTAGATTTTAAAGGTCATTTAACCTGATATCAAAGGAAAAGATCTTAAATTTGAACCGACGCACCTAGTGTTTAGAATGCATATAAATACTAAATATAACATATCAAGTATCGACTTGATAAAATTGAGCTTAGTGATTATCAATTACACGCAACAATTTCACAAAAGAAATTTAAAAAAAGAACAAAAAAACAATTACACGCCACAGTGGAGTTTGCTGAATTTCTCGTAATTTTCGACACTCAATCAAATGAAGTATCTGTACATTTAAGCCATTAATCTCGTCCCCATTCAAGTAATAGGCTTCTTCAATCAAATTTTCTATCCCATGTTCCTACATAAATGGTTGTATTATGGATACCTTGAGTTGATATCAAATAATATTAAGTTTGAGTGGTCTACCAGTTCCAAAATTTCATAATCCGTAGTTTATAGTGAGCAAACATAAACAAGATCAGTCAAATTGGAACTATAAGATTACTCAACCAGGGCGCTATCATATAATGTCATTAACCATTTCATCTCTGAAACAGACAAAGTTGTGCAAAATAAAGGGACAAACCTGAGGTGTTTTAGGAAATTTGAATAACTTGGAATCAGCCTCTTCGAAGGTGCCCCAAGATCTGGCATCTAGAGGAGTATTTTTGCTCGACGAAGAGAGCCTTTTCATAGCAAATGCATCACAAGTCTGCTCAGCATCCAAAATAGACGAATGTTGATCACTATGGTGCTGCTTTGGAACTTCAGAAAATCTCATCTTGGCCGCAGCAATGCATGCATCAAGGGAATCAGTAATTACTTCAACTGGCTGCACGCCTGCATTGCCCCCTGTTACCTTTAAATTCCAGCTACTGCATTTTCCCAATAAGGAAGCTTCAGACAAGAGGCCTCCCATGCTTATGTTTGATATACTATCTAACTGCAGGATTCCACATTCTGATGACAACTGATGATCATAATCTAACGGTGGCTCATTACCCTAGTTCAAACAGTGTTATCAAATTTCATAAATCATATTATTTACTATAAGCCACAACAAACGTACAAATATAATCATTTGGTTTGGCAAAAAACACACATACAATTGTCACAACGTCAGTTGTAGTGTATTTGTCTTTGTATGTCTGCTTAATTTCAAACATTGCATCAGCGTAGCGAAAGCAAAGTTTATAATCCTTATCAATGCATCATAATTTTGACAATACGCAAATAATTTGTTACATAGACCTCATACGTAATGTGAACTGGGAAAAATAATCATGTAAATTTAATTATAGTAATAATTTGTTCTCTCTTGTAGTAGTGTTCATTTAAAATTTTAATAAAAATTGGAGTTGAATATAATACCATTGGATTAAATGGACAATCCACTATCTTCTCTGGTGCAGCAGGGTTATTCAGATCATTCATATTGCTTGACTTGATCTCATCCACAATTTGCTCAGATTGTTTGCATTCGCCATCTATGATACGCACGATACTACTGCAACCTCTCTCCAAGCCTTTCGAGGATGAATGAAGTTTAGGAATGGATGTGGAGACCCAGCCGTACCTTGAAAAGGATAATAATTTCCAATAATACATTTAAATGAATAAATAAATCATTACCAAGGAAAACGATAAAAATGTGCACCTTAAGCGGAAAATTGAAGAACCTCCAACAGCTGCATAGACATCTCCAGCACTGATGTCACTATCTTTCAGAGTCCATTTTAAACCACAGACAAGATTTGATGGCTTACTGTATGGAAAAAGTGTGAGCTCCCCTCGTGCTGCATTAGAACATCCCCATTTGCTAATAAGATGATTAAATACCGAAGACATTTTCTTTCGAGCCCTTAAAGTCAGTTCCAAATGTGGGTGATATCCATCCTACAAAAATAAAAGTGATAGTTTTGTCACATCTCAAATATGAACTGAATACAGATATCATACTTGTCTGTGCTTAATCCACAACGTTTTGTGTTCGTGACAATACCTTTTCCAATGCTATGCGGGTCTTTTCATTTATTGGAAAAAGTTGAAGCTTGATCTTTGTGCGAGGGTGGGGCATCTTTGTGCGATGAAGAAGAGGTGACCTCTCTGTCATTTCTGTCGGATTAGTTCGATCAACCGAACTCTGTGCATTCTTCAAGTCATCTGCTCTAGATCAAAAAGTCTCTAGTTTGTAAACAACAGTCTTGTAAATAAATAAAGAAAGAAAACCACTGGACGCAAAGAAATTTGTTCCTTTTTTCACACTGAAACAGTACACATAATCTTTCACATAACGGGACTAGAACATCAGTTTAAGACAGGAAAAATACCCCAAGAAGAGGCATGAAATTTAAGAAAAATATTTTTATCGAACAAGTCATTTGAAACAAAAGAAATTGGACGTGAAACCTTCAATGTGTGCATTGTCGAGAGATTTTATCTCCTGAGAAATTATCTTTCTATACTTCTGAACTCCAATCGTGTCAGCAGATGTCCCACACCTTTTCCCCAACTTTTCTGCCCTTCCATCTGGGTGCCTGTCTGTTTTCATTATGTTTCAACTTTCCACCACTGAATAGGATCTGAGGAGAGTTCCTTGAGCTATATATCCAAAAAGGAAAATTAAGATGGCAGAACCTGAAACGGCTAAGAGTCAGCAAACTTTGTCGTCATGTAACTGTGTGCATTTCATGTTATCGCGACAGATGCTACACAGGAAACTACCAAATTGTTCGCGCATGGCTGCATTTCAATTTTTTACCCTTTTGTTTTATTGAGTGGAAATAAAACCGTCCAGAAAACCTAATTCCAGTTATAGATTTTCTTCATGGTCCAAATCCTCCCCCATAATAACGATGATAATGTAGACTATTTTAAGTTGACAAAATCAAGTAGTTCCGTCACTGTCATGATAAACAATAGAAATCCCTGAACTAACTCGGAAACGTACCTACCACAAGGATCAGCAAATTTCCAAGCGTCCATAAGGAGAACTCTATACAAAAAATCGAACATAAATCACGCACTCAAAAGCCGCAATTAGCACTTCAATGGTTGAAATTTATTATCATCCAACCCAGATCTGTAGATCATAACCAAAATACTAAGGTAAAAATGGTAATAAGGCATACTTTAGGTCATTGGATCGCAGGGCATAAATTTGCAGCTGAGAATCAAGAAACACCATACAAACACAGACTACTAAAACTCCGCACAAAGCGAACCAATTATTCAAGTCACCATTAAAAGCTACTAAGAAAGAACAAAATCGATCACGACAGACGTATTGAGTCAAACGAAAAACAAAAACAAAACATACGACTTGAATTTCATAAGTTTCAGAGCGAAAAGATAAGAGATTACAACCAAAGGAGGCAGCAATCAAAATTGATTGAATTTTCGAATAATAAATCGGTAGAAGACGAAACATACACAGATTCAGAATCTTTCGCAGCAGAGACGTTCGGCTTGAGAGAGATTTGAATTGAGACGTGAAAATGATAACGCGGGAAATATAAATTTTTCAGATGGTCGGTTGCAGTTCCGCCGCAGATTTTCGCTCTCTCCCGCTTTTATACATTCCACTATTCTACCAATACAAAATGACGAATTTGCCCTTAGAGCATTTGCGATTGCTCAATTTTTAATTTGAGTTAAAACATTTAATTTTAAAAAAATCAATTTTAGTTATTAATATAATATTTTATATAAATATAATTTTTTTATAAAAAAAAACACCTCAATTCAACCCACTTGAAATTTTAAATTTTAAATAATTAATTTAACAAACATAAAAACCTTATTAAATAAATCAAGACAACTTATTTATATTTTTCTATTAAATAAATAATGAGATGACATATTTATTTAAAAAATAGTTATATTGGATTGGCTAAATTTTGTATTTATTTTAAAAAATGAGATGGTTTTTAAATTATTATTGAAAAAAAATTCTTTAATATAGTCGTTTCAGGAGTTATATTTTACATTTGTATAAATGAAATTAAATAAAATTATTATAAAAAAAAAACAGTAAAATAAAATCAGTGTCTGTTATGAACGGGAGTCTGCTGGTTGTCGTTGGTGGAGGGAAGAAGAAAGAGGAATTTAATAGAATTGGAGAATGTCTCTACCAATTCAATCGTTAAACATTCTTCTCCGCCATTTTGCAGCATTTAATGGCGGCAAATCTGGAGCGTTTCTTCTGCTTTTCAACTCCTTTTTAGCTCTCCTCCTCTTCCTCTCAATTTCGAAGGTTCGTACTTGCCTCGACCTTTCACAGTTTTGACCGCTTCGTTCTTTCTCGCCTGCTTTTGTTTATTTGCACTTGCAGGAAAAAGTCTTTTTCAATCGAATCACACACGAAGCATCGTTGATTCTTCTCTTTGTTTGTTCAATTTTGTTCGTCTGGGCTGTTTCCTTCGATTGAGATTCCATAAACCTGTTCTTCCTGATCCATTGTGTCGTACGGAGTCTGGTAGAAGTAGATTTAATTTTATGTGCGTTTTGCTTCAATTTTTTTTTTTTTTTTTTATATGTTTATTGTTTTGCTTGTTTGGATTACGTAGAAGTGAGATCTGCTGATCGGTGTGTTCAATCTCGGCAGGAATTTGGGTCTCCTTTGTGATTTTAACCTGTTGATTTTGTTCTTCAGCTCTTGAATGTTTGTCCACTTTATTTCGTTGTTTAGCTTATTGTTCTCGATTCTAGTTGTTTTAGCTTGAATTTCATTTGGGGTCGTTTTGACTGTTTTCTGGACATTTTTTTTTCTTAATTTTTACATTTACGGTTATACAATGACCTAAGAGTTAATTATGGACAGAACATAACAATTCTACAAGGAAACATCTCCTTTGCGATTTATTTATTTATTTTTAGTTTGAGATCTGAATCCCCTAATCTTAAATGCTATACCAATGAAAGCGCTTAAATAGAAAGACCTGCACTTTGAAATTGGCCTGTGTTTTACTTTCATGAGCTTTCGTTTTGGTTGACTAGTAGATGTTTTGTATGATCAAGCTTGTCTAGCCACCGAATTTTTTGTTTGTAAATAAATTTGGAACGTTGTTGTAAAATTTGAAGTTTTCCTTTGAAACTTGTTGACCTTTAGGATTTATCTTTCTTCACTTGTCATTTTGACCTGGTTATTTTCCCTCTGCACCTACCGTTTTATATGTTTAAGTTAAATCTTATCTCGATTAAATAATTTAAAATTTTCTTGGTTCTTCTTTGTCCTATTTATTTATTGATACTAGTCATTGGTACTTTGCTGATGGTAAATTTTGTACTACAGATAAGACTGTTGAGCATCAAGATCAAGCACTTCTGGTTTTTTCTTTTGAATGAAGATTGAGAACTTCAAGTGCTGATTAAAAACAAAGTATAGATTGCAATGTCTTCGCCTGGCAAGATTGATAATAAGACAACTCTTGATGCTGCCTCATGGATGTTCAATGTCGTCACATCTGTAGGGATAATCATTGTCAATAAAGCATTGATGGCCACATATGGATTCAGCTTTGGTATGCATGATAGGTCTCACCATATATTCAAATTATGTTCTTTCTTTTACATTTCTAGTAGTATAGTGTCCATGTCATGGACAAAGTGAACTTCGCTTGCTAAGCATTATTCTTACAAGTTTTATTTTGTTCCAAATGCGACCTTTTTTTTATTAATATGTTTATCACGTCACAGCTACAACTTTAACTGGTCTACATTTTGCCACAACCTCCTTGCTGACTTTTATTCTCAAGCGACTTGGGTATATTCAAGATTCTCGCCTACCATTCCTTGACATTCTTAAATTTGTTATATTTGCAAACTTCTCCATTGTGGGAATGAACGTGAGCTTGATGTGGAATTCTGTTGGGTTCTATCAGGTTTTTTCCCCTTAATTGTTAAATGTTCGTTCTTCCCTCGTTTTTAGAATTAAGACATGAGGTTGTAATTCTTCTCTCATTATCAGATTGCGAAGCTGAGTATGATCCCAGTATCTTGTTTCCTAGAAGTTGTTTTCGATAAGGTGCAATACTCGAGGGACACAAAACTTGCCATACTGTTAGTTCTACTTGGTGTTGGAGTTTGTACTATCACTGATGTTAGTGTCAACATAAAAGGTTTTGTGGCTGCCATAGTGGCAGTATGGAGCACTGCGTTGCAGCAGTATGTAAGTAACTGCATCATTAATCTTAAATTGGTGCTGCTGTGTAAAATTGTTTGAAATTATGAATTTGTTTTTGGGTTATCTTGAAATTACAGTAGTGGCGTGTTGTTGGTTTTCCTCCGGATTAGTTTTTATCACTATGTGGTTATCTTGCAATAGTGGTGTATGATTGAATTTTTGATAGATAGTTTTTTACCACTTTTTCTCATGTTGAAATAAAGGCATCAGATATTCTGATAGTATAGTTTCACAATATTATTCTTCTAATACAGCCTTGGCCCTTTTTCTCTGGGTGCAGTATGTACATCATCTCCAGCGAAAATATTCTCTTGGATCCTTCAACTTATTGGGCCATACCGCTCCAGTGCAGGCTGCTTCTTTGCTGTTAGTTGGGCCATTTTCAGACTACTGGTTGACTGGAAAGAGAGTTGATACCTACGGATACACTTTTGTGTCCTCGGTAAGATTTTATATCCATTAGTACACTTGGGAAGATTTTACTTGGCCTATGTATGAGTTTTAAATGTGTATGGTTCTAAGTTATGGAAAGCATCAGAGCCAGTTCTTATATATATATATATATATAAGAATCTGGCATTTTCCTATCTCACAGTTGATATGGCAATCCTAAATTCCTTTTATGGGAAACATAAACATTTCATTGGTATGGTGAAATAGACACTCCTTAAAAAACGAAAGATAGATTATTGAAATATCTCTAAAAAAATCCAACAATTTAATTGCTTTATTATTAATCAGGAAAATTTTAGTTTTAACCACAATAAACCACTAATTAACTCTGAGTACCTATATAAAATTCGTTATATGCATAGTGAACTAAGGACTGTCATTTCCCCTAACATGACTACTTACAAGTTGTTATTGCTTATGAAACTAAAACTACATGTCTTGATTTGGATGGAGCTTGGATATTTTTTAAATACAAGAAACAATTTGATTGATATGGGAAAGTTTACAAAGAAATCCTGTAAGGACATCCTACCAAAGCCCAATCCTTCCAAAAGCACACACTGAAGGCCAATATCATTTAGTTAACTTTCCGATGAAATCCATCGAAAACCACCCCTATCATTATTGGAAAAAAAAAGGTTGTCCAAAGATACCCAAACAGAAAAAATGATATTTGGCTACTTCAAAAATATCTGCGCAATCCTGTGCTGAATTACTGAACACCTATTATTCCTTTCCAACCAAGATCTTCATAGCGTGGATTTTCTCGCATTAATGCATAATTTCCTGTGGATCATCTCATGCCGTCAGTTCTTCCCAATATTTCTACTTTTTATTGTTACACCATCAGCTCCCCACCCACATCAATCTATTTGGGAAGAGACAGAAACCTTTATTGAAAGAAAGAACCAAAACAACCTAATGGCCAACGAGATAAGAAAGTAGTTGACTTTTTTTCTTAAAGAATTTTCTTCCCAAATCAGATTGGAAGCTTGTGAATCAAGGAGAGTCAAATCTCTTGGCGCTTTTATAGTTTCATTTTGACAGAGGAAGACCCCTTTGAAAGCCTCTGTCCCTGTTTCTCAAAGAAGAGTTTGAGCATCTATAAAATAAGATTGAAAAGAAAAAACCTAACCCTTTTAAAGGCCAAAGGTTAAAAGTCCCATCCAATTTGAGTAGAGTTCAATTGGTTATAGAAGTTGAAGGTTCAAATTTTCACCCTTGCCCCATTACTTTTTTAAATAAAAAGGCCATGTCTCTTTCTCTTCGAGTTTTAAGATTTGTCTCTTGAATAGAGGTGGCCCTTACATGTCACTTAGATTATGAGAAGGCTATATTATCTTCATAAAACAATTTTTGAAGGTCTTTATTCTAATCTTCTCTAACGGCAGATCCTCCAAGTTTTTTGCATTGATCTCATAGGTCTTTTGCTGGTTTAAGCTTCCTTTGTTAAGTAGTTCAGTAGCGAATAAATTCTGGACAATACCCATCTGTTTATCATTCGGCTTCATGGAAAATTCTTGCTGGTCCTTTAGAAATGCCGTTGTGAGCTCTGATGTTCCTCATAGATAGAGGTTTCCAATGATTGGAGGAGACTATTGAGCTACAAACGAAATGCCATCTTCCTTTTGGATGTTTGTTTCAGTGAGGAACAAAACGGCCACAATAGCTACAAAACATCTGTAATGGAAAATTCTTGCTGGTTCTTTAGAAATGCTGTTGTGAGCTCTGATGTTCCTCATAGATAGAGGTTTCCAATGATTGAAGGGGACTATTGAGCTACAAATGAAATGCCATCTTCCTTTTGAATTTTCGTTTCAGTGAGGAACAAAACAGCCTCAGCAGTTATCTAACTACAGCAGCTTTCAAACTTTTTACCAAACATGAAGTTTATAGCGGGCTT